AATTTGATCGTTGTTTTCTCCAGCAGAGGTTTTGAGTAGCACAGAAGTAAAGAAGCTGAGAAGCAAAGCCATCATCGGCAAACAGTGGCTGTAGCCACAAATCACAGGGTAGCCTTTATTCTTGCATAGTGTAGAAAACATCTTTCATTGTACACGATTTATGTCCCAATACAGAGAAAGCAATCATCATCACTAACATCATTTTTTAGTATCAAGGGTAGCACCACATTTTTATCAACATAATTGGATGTTAGCTCATGAAGTTTATAGAGTTAATACTTAGAAGTATAATTTAAACATTGGGCAAGAATAATAGTTTTTTATACTGGTTACTTTTCCTCTTAGGTTTTATTCTCTTGAATAGTGTAGTCCATACTTAATACAACAGTTTAATTTCTGAAGTAAATAAATCCACACTTCAATTACCCATTTTGATTTTAGTACAAGTTGAGTTTAGAATATTCGTGATCAGGTGTGTAAGAAAATAGGCACATGAATTTTTGTTATAACTGACAAGTCAATTCAAACAACTGCTTTCTTAAAACAGGATTCATTGGAAATTTCTTTTAAAGGCACATATCATAAAGGCATATTTCTTCATTAGCTGGAATCAGTTTTAAAGATATTGTGGCTATTAATCCTTTTACCTTAGTTTATAACCGTAAAAAGCCAGTTACAATGTTTGTGTTTTTTATCCCTTCCATTGAATTGGCAAACAAAAACAAGAACTATTGTTTAAGTTTTAGTATTTATTATTTGTTGTTTTAAAAATCTGTGTTTCAGATTCTTTGTGCAGATTCCAAACTTTACAGTTGTAATAACTAAATATGCAAGACAACTTTAGCCTTCTGGGATAAACTATCCTAAAATAAAAACAAAAAAATTAAAAGACAAGCATCTATAACCAAAAGAGGGTAGAGCATTAAAGCCACCATCTGGTCAGTTCAAGCCAAATAAAAATTCTCTGCATTTTGCCTAAACCATCTAGATATCTGTTTTATTTTGCCTATGAGAACTTGACCTAAACTGAACTACTATTCTATATCATTAAGTTGTCCAGGAAAATGAAAATGTAAATATATGTCAGACAAGCTCTATATCTGGTACAATTCAGTAATGATGATCTGCTCCATAGAACTTCAGTATTGAGACAACTTTAGGACTGAGAAGATTTGGTTGACCTATAGGAAGAAAATAATGTTCTAGTCAGACATTCTCCCTGTTTACAAGTACTCATACTTGCCAGATTATCTGCCACTGTAGGAAACATACAAAGTAAAATTCCTTTATGAAGCATCTCACTATAGCTCTAATTCCACTTTGCTGCAGCCAAATAATATACCTTGGATACAAAGTGATCATCACTGTTCATCTTTCAGTGTAATAGTTTAGAAATTATTTTCATACCTCTTTTTTTAATACATTAATGCTAGATTTTTCCCCCTAAAATAGAAAATGTCTCATAGAGTATTATTTTAGAGTAATAAATAAAATTTAACTAGTTTAGATGCTCTCTTATAATTTATTAACAAGAAACTTATTTCTCCTTTTAAAAGAGCACATAAGCTGAAATATATGAGATCTTTTAAAAGAATTTTAGAAGTGACCATGGTGATATTTGTGTGTATCAACAGCTTCCTTTCAAACTGTGCTACAAACCACATTGTGCCAAACTTACATCTCTTTCAAAATAGAAAAGAATCAGGTTAAATGTGACTTTTTAAATCAACAGAGTGGGGAAAAAAACTTGCAACAAATAAAACAAAGTTTTAATATATTTATTATGTAAACAAGTTACACATAAGAAGAAAATACCAAGAATACAATAGACAACACAAAGGATACTTTACAGGAAATAATATAATGTCAGTAAATAAATATAAATGTTTTATCTCACTAGTTAAAAAAAAAAAAAAAAAGCACATTAAAAGAACAGTGGAGGCCAGGCAAGGTGGCTCATGCCTGTAATTCCAGCACTTTGGCAGGCTGAGGCAGATGGGTCATGAGGTCAGGAGTTCAAGACCAGCCTGGCCAACATGGTGAAACCTGTCTCTACTAAAAATACAAAAATAGCTGGGCATGGTGGCGGGCACCTGTAATCCCAGCTACTGGGAGGCTGAGGCAGGAGAAGCATTTCAAAATGGGAGACGAAGGATGCAGTGAGCTGAGACTGTGCCATAGCATTCTAGCCCGGCTAACAGTGTGAGGCTACGTTTCAAAAAAAAAAAAAAAAGAATAGTGGAATACCATTTCACCCATCTTATCACTGATTTTTTAAAAATAAGAATGCCCAGTGCTGACAATCAGTGTGGTGACAGGGTAAACTAATATAATATTTTTGAAAAATAATGTATTAAATATTCATACCTTTTAGTCCACTAATTCCAGTGCTCAGTTTTTACCCAATGGGAATTTTAAAAGGCTGTAGGTACAAGGTATTCATTGACACGTTATGGAATTTTAAAAGGCTGTAGGTACAAGATATTCATTGTCGTGTTATTTATAATACTCAAAAAAATGAAAACAACCTAAATGTCCCAAAGCACATGATTAAGTACATTAATATACATTAATTGTGTTGGATATTATGCTGCATTTTAAATGATGTTTAGGTTGATGGATAATAATATGGGGAAATATTTTATAATGCTAAGTGAAAAGAATAAGATGCAAAATTATATACATTGTAAACCTACTGCTCTATGTAAAAACTCTGTATGTACAGGAAAAAGACATGAAGATTTAAAAAATCTCCAGTATTTTCCCATTTCATTTAATAACCATTTTGATATTTTCAATGTCATGTTATTACTCAAAGCACTTTCAAATGTGTTACCTTGTTTGCCACATTTCTCTTTAAAACGCACACGCACACAAGCACACACACACACACCTTGTGCTTTGAAAGACTTATAAAATATCCTAATGCCTAACAAAAAATTATCCCAAATGAGAGCATTCGTTATCATTTTGGTTATAAGTGCAGGGAATCTTGTACATATGTGACTACGCAGTCGAAATATGTAGCAGTCCCAGTCAGGGCTCTCTCAGCATCCACACTCGTTCTGCCTCTAGCTCCTTTCGGAAACCACGGCTGCTTCCAGCACCTGTGAATATATTGCACTTATAAACTATTGGCAGAAGAGGGAATGTTATTAAATGTTCGTAATATCTAGGGAACAACCAAAACCAGTTTGTTTTTGTCTTAAATTATAGCATCAAAAGGAGCCATTTATTCAAATACGTGTGTTCTGTTTCTAACAGAGAGCAAATTCTTAAGGGGGCAGAGATATGGTTTATTTTTATGATATATACATTACCTAGTTTACTGTTGGATTTTATAAATAATACCCTTTGCCATATCAACCCTAGAGCAAGGGGAACTGACATTCCATTCTTTCTGAGAGAAATGCTGTATTTGTCTCCTCCTCTCCCTCCATTCCTCTTTGCAAAAGTGGTCACTCCCATCTCCACCATTAAGAGTCTAAAATTCTAGTCAAGGACTAACTGGGGTAGTGCGATTCAGAGAGAGAAAGAGCGAGAGCGAGAGCGAGAGCCAGCGAGCGAGCGAGAGAGAGAGAGAGAGAGAGAGAGAGAGAGAGAGAAACTTCAAGAGGTTGCACTTACACTTCGGCAGTTTTTCCAGAAACGAGGGAGGCATTAGTTCTTACTTTTGTGATGTCGACTTGGAGACTGAAATGCATCAAAGCTCCGCTTCTTCTTGATGTGAGGGATGTGAAATATGCTGTAGAAAATATATTCAGCGTGGTCCTTTGTTCTAGGCAGGAGCTTTTCTTTTTCTAAAGTTTTTCGGTCTCGCTCAAGGAAAGGAAAGCAATATTTTGAGATTCTTTTAAAGGTACCTTCCAAAGCATTTTGAAAAAATACTTTCACAGCTCCAACACTGATTATTGCAGTAAGAATCGAGTCCAATTTTTTTCCCAATATGGCTGTATACATTGCAGGCCCCCAAATTTGTGCTTTCATAGTCATCGTTAATCAAATACGTAGGCAAAGACACTGTATTTAGGGAACCTGTGTTTTGTGGGCTAGCAGTGCATTCTGATTAATAAAGATCATGTTCAATTTGAAGTCATCGCTGTTACTCGTGTGCCTTACAGTGGCGGGCTTCTGTCAGGGGTGGAGTTGGCTCCGGAGTGCCTGCAGCGCGGTGGGAAGCAGGTCTGAATGCCCCGGTCGTCAACCAGTTTTCAGGGGATGCCGACACTTTCTCCCAAGAGGCTAGATGCACCGCCGTGAGCGGCTGGAAAGAATGAACCAGACTGTGACAGGAACAGAGAATTCATGTGATTGACAGGGAGTAATAGGGCACCAGACTCTGTCCCCGGGTCACCAGGGCTCTGGGATTTGCACGAGTTTACTACCACCATTAACAGCTACTTACGGAAGGTTGTTTACCGCCAGAGCGCCACAAGCCTACTGCGAAGCCACTTTGGGACCCCAGCCACGCCCCCTCGCCCCTCTCACCCCTCCCTCCCGCCAAACTAATGAATTCGGGGCTGCCTACTTGCCGGACCCTCCCATTGGCCTCTATCCCAACCAATCAGAGCCTTGCAACAGTTTCACCTGGCTCCTGCTTCCCAAATAAACAAACAAACTGTCCCGCGGAGTTGGCAGCTCTACCCTGGCGCCGCCAGCAATGCTTGAGTTCCTCCCCCTCCCACCACCTCGCTTCTTCCAGCCCATGGAGCCCCGACTGTGGCGCCCTCTCCTGGCCCAGACAGTCGGCCGCTTTCTCCTGCACCCCTCCAGGCGTTCTCCCGCCCCCTCTTGCCTTCCTGGACTCCTGGTTAGAATCAGCTTGGCCAGAGAGCCCCGCCTCCTCCTTCCGGTCCTCCCTTGGCTCACAGGTCTGGAGATTCACCCGGAGGGTGTTAGCACAGCTGGAGGTGGCTCCGCCTCCGGGGCTCGCCGCCTCCTCCCTTGCACACCTCTACTGGTGGCCGCTCGCGCCCCTCCGTTGCGCCGGTAGCAGGATCCGCAGCGGCCGCCGCGTGAGGCGGCAGTCACGTGTTGTTTTGCCGGCTGCCGCGCGCTCCGAGTGGAGTGGGCGGGGGCGCGGGCCGAGGCAGGAGGGGGCTGGAGCGGGCAGACGGGGGTAGACGGCCTCTTTCCCCAGCCCTCCCTTTCCTGAATTTCCCCTCCTCCTCGCTCACCTTAAAACCATCGTGCATCACCATGGCGAGCTGCTCCTTCACTCGCGACCAAGCGACAAGGAGACTGAGAGGTGCAGCAGCGGCAGCAGCGGCAGCTCTAGCAGCGGTGGCGACCACCCCGCTTCTTTCCTCGCGAACCCCGACCGCACTCATTGGGACCGGGTCGTCTTGTCCGGGAGCCATGTGGCCTTCCATGGCCACTGGCTCCCGGTCAGACTCCGAGTCCGAGGAGGAGGACCTCCCCGTCGGGGAGGAAGTCTGCAAACGCGGCTACCTGCGGAAACAGAAGCATGGGCACAGGCGCTACTTCGTGCTCAAACTCGAGACTGCTGATGCCCCAGCTCGGCTGGAATACTACGAAAATGCCAGGAAGTTCCGGCACAGTGTCCGAGCCGCGGCGGCTGCAGCAGCGGCGGCCGCCTCTGGCGCCGCGATCCCCGCGCTCATTCCACCGCGGCGCGTGATCACCCTATACCAGTGCTTTTCCGTGAGCCAGCGAGCAGATGCAAGGTACCGACACCTCATTGCCCTTTTCACCCAGGACGAGTACTTCGCGATGGTGGCCGAGAACGAGTCGGAGCAGGAAAGCTGGTACTTGCTGCTCAGCCGCCTCATCCTCGAGAGCAAGCGCCGCCGCTGCGGCACGCTAGGCGCGCAGCCGGACGGAGAGCCGGGCGCGCTGGCGGCGGCAGCGGCGGCGGAGCCACGCTTCTATAAAGATGTGTGGCAGGTAATAGTCAAACCCAGGGGGCTGGGGCACAGAAAAGAGCTGAGCGGCGTGTTCCGGCTGTGTCTAACCGACGAGGAGGTCGTGTTTGTGAGGCTGAACACCGAAGTGGCTAGCGTGGTTGTCCAGCTCCTGAGCATCCGTCGCTGTGGACACTCGGAGCAGTATTTCTTCTTGGAAGTAGGCAGGTCCACCGTCATCGGTCCAGGAGAGCTCTGGATGCAGGTCGATGACTGTGTGGTTGCCCAAAACATGCACGAGCTGTTTTTGGAGAAGATGAGAGCCCTATGTGCAGACGAATACAGAGCCCGCTGCCGCAGCTACAGCATCAGCATCGGCGCCCACCTGTTAACCCTGCTGTCCGCTAGGAGGCACCTGGGCTTGCTGCCGATAGAGCCGGGAGGCTGGCTCAGAAGGTCCCGCTTTGAGCAGTTTTGCCACCTCAGGGCCATGGGCGACGGGGAAGACGAGATGCTTTTCACCAGGCGCTTCATAACACCCAGCGAGCCTGTGCCCGACTCCAGGCGAGAAAGACTGCACCTACCCAGAGGGTGCAGGTCAAGGAGAGCGATTTCAGTGCCAGCCAGCTTTTTTCGCCGCTTAGCACACAGCCCAGCACGTCCCCCGCACCCTGCAAGAGCCCCGAACAATGGAGCTTGCCTGTCTTCTGAAGTGTCTGGATCTGGCTCTGGCAACTCTGGGGAGGAACGCAATCCCCAGAGCAAAGAAGATCAGGAAGGAAGTGGAGGCGACTACATGCCCATGAACAATTGGGGGTCAGGAAATGGCCGGGGCTCAGGAGGTGGCCAGGGCTCAAGTGGCCAAGGCTCCAGTAGCCATAGCTCGGGAGGAAACCAGTGCTCAGGTGAGGGACAGGGATCCCGAGGTGGCCAGGGTTCTAGTGGTGGCCAGGGCTCAAGTGGCCAGGGCTCAGGAGGTAACCAGTGCTCTGGAGATGGCCAGGGCACCGCAGGTGGGAACGGTTCAGGTGGTGGACAGAGACCTGGAGGTGGGCATGACTCAGGTGGTAGCCAGGGACCTGGAGATGGTTATGGCGCAGGTGGTGGCAAGAACTCTGGAGGGGGTAAAGGTGCAGGAAGTGGGAAAGGATCTGATGGTGATGATGAACGTGGAAAATCTCTGAAGAAAAGATCCTATTTTGGCAAATTAACCCAAAGCAAGCAAATGCCACCACCTCCACCACCTCCTCCTCCCCCCCCACCAGCTGGAGCAACTGGTGGAAAAGCGAAGTCTGGGGGAAGATTCCGACTTTATTTTTGTGCTGACAGAGGAGCCACAAAAGAACGCAAAGAAGCCAAAGAAGTTAAAGATGCAGAGATCCCAGAAGGTGCAGCTCGTGGCCGCCACAGAGCCAGAGCTTTTGATGAAGATGAGGATGACCCATACGTGCCAATGAGGCCAGGGGTGGCTGCCCCTCTTGTCAGCTCCAGTGATTATATGCCAATGGCTCCTCAAAATATCTCTGCTTCAAAAAAGCGCCACTCTCGATCCCCTTTTGAAGATTCAAGAGGGTACATGATGATGTTTCCCAGAGTGAGCCCACCACCTGCTCCAAGTCCTGCACCGGATCCTAATAAAGGGGATGACTCAAAGGACAATGACAGTGAGAGTGACTACATGTTCATGGCTCCTGGAGCCGGTGCAATTCCAAAAAACCCCAGAAATCCTCAGGGTGGCTCTTCCTCCAAAAGTTGGAGCTCCTACTTCTCTCTACCAAACCCTTTTCGGAGCTCACCTTTGGGACAGAGTGACCACAGTGAGTATGTACCAATGTTACCTGGAAAGTTCCTGGGGAGGGGCCTAGACAAAGAAGTCTCCTATAACTGGGGCCCCAAAGATGTATCTTCAAAGCCTTCAGGTGAGGGATCATTCTCAAAGCCTGGAAATGGGGGATCACTTTCAAAGCCTTCAGATGATGGGCCCCCAAAGGATAAGGCTCTGAGACCTAACAGACTTTCTTTTACTACACAAGAATATAAAATCAAGCCAAAACAACAAGAGCCCACACATGAGCAGAGAGAAGCTGACAGCTCTAGTGACTATGTCAACATTGACTTCACTAAAAGAGAGAGCAATACACCAGCTCCCTCTACTCAAGGACTATCAGATTCGTGGGGTATAATTGCTGACCCCAGACAGCCAGCCTTTCATAATTATGTGAATGTTGAGTTTGGAGTGCCATTTCCAAATCCAGCAAGTGACTTCTCAGATCTTTTAAGAGCTATACCACGTGCCAACCCCCTATCGCTGGACAGTGCTAGGTGGCCACTTCCTCCTCTTCCCCTCAGTGCTACAGGTAGCAATGCTAATGAGGAAGAGGGTGACTACATTGAAGTAATTTTCAACTCAGCAGTGACACCAGCCTTGCCTTTTGCTGACAGTGCCATTCGCTATGATGCTGAAACAGGTCGAATCTATGTGGTCGACCCATTTTCTGAGTGCTGTATGGATATATCTCTCTCCCCCAGCCGATGTTCAGAACCACCACCTGTTGCTAGGCTGCTGCAGGAGGAAGAGCAGGAGGGAAGACGCCCACAAAGCCGTTCTCAAAGTTTCTTTGCAGCAGCTAGAGCCGCTGTCTCGGCTTTTCCAACAGACAGCCTCGAGAGAGACCTTTCCCCATCCTATGTCCCGGCTGTTGCTTCAGCGGCAGCACCGACTTTAGCTGTCCGCCAAGTTGTAGCTGCGGCCTCAACGCTCGCCGCGGCCCCGGGCATCGGCGCAGCAGCCGTAGCTGCTGGATTTGACTCCGCCTCCGTCCGCTGGTTTCAACCTGTTGCTAATGCAACTGGTGTCGAAGCCCTAAGGGGGGCCCAAGACAATGCCGGTGGCTCGAACCCTGGAGCTCACAACCCATCTGCAAACCTTCCCAGAGGTGAGAACCGGGCTGGCGGGGCTGCCGCTGCAGCTGCCGCTCCCGAACCCCCACCTCGCAGTCGCCGGGTGCCGAGACCCCAGGAGACAGACGATTCTGACCACGACGACGACACTTACGTGAGAATGGATTTTGCCAGACCTGACAACCAGTTCGACTCTCCCAAAAGAGGTCGGTAAATTTATAATTAATTTCCCTGAAGTGAATGGTTGTTGTTTAATGAATCGATGCGCTACAGTCTACAGTGTTAGGGATACTATTTCATTAATTGGTGCTATTCGACATGGAGGATAGAATTCAGTTTTAATTATTCACACAATGCCTTTTTGATCTTTGCAAACATTTAAGTTTTTATCTAATCAATTTCTTTGGACAGAACTGATTATCCTTTAAACATTGGTTCTACTTTTTAGGGGTAGCTAAACCGCAGACATACAGCATAAGGATACTTTTAAACAGCCTTCCTCATCATTTAAAGATAATGTAAAGCAGGATATCATAAATTGGGTTCCACCAACTAATTTTCAAATCAACAACTAATAGCTGCTTTTCTGCAAATGCCCATATTTAAGTGTAGGGATTTAATGAGAACACAGACTATTAAGCAAGAACAATCAACTATTTATGTTTGGGGAGCATAATTTTCTCCTTTGAAAGTTACTTTTTAAAGAGCAGTCATTGTTATGCTAGTTTGCTGTAGTTTACCAAGAAAGTTAAATCTCAATTGTTAACGTGAATGTCTGGGAGGAACAAAACATAAATAATCCAAAACAGCAAGTGATTAAAAGAAGACAGTATTTGGCTCTGGAATGTGTTTGTGTGTTGATTTTCTTTTTGTTTTTACACAGGATAAATTCCAGAAACCTTGAGTGTTCCTTTTCTCTGTCACTAATAATGACAGGCAAGTCACATTTGCTGTGCCTCATTTTCTTCTTTTGACCCCCCACCCTTCCAGAAGAGGGGGTGGTGACAACTTGATAATGGATATGAATATTATTTCAAAGGCTTAAAAAGCAGTTAAAACATTTAATTCGTATATCTTATGGGAAATCAAGGAAAGCAAGATAAGGCTGGAGGAAGACCTGACCCCAGGGGCAGCTTACCCTGGAATGGTGGAAGTTTTTAAAGGGCTGCTTTTCCAAAGGAAGAAGTCAGGAAGAGTAGAAACTGTCAGACTTGGAAACAAGACTTAGAGTAATTCTACTGTGTACAACATTGTGCAATGTTGTCATCAGTGTGTCTTGAGACATTTTCAGGAGATGATTGCAAAAGATGATGTCTCCATAGTCTCAACTGCCTTCCCTCTTTAGTTGAATATGCTTTTTTCCCAGTGAAGGAAGGGATGGACCCCAGCAGTTTTCATTCCAGTAGTCAGTTTAGTGAAGATTTTTGCTTTGCTTGCTTTGTGGAATGCTTTTGTGATTGGATCTCTGCCCACTGTGCTTGATCAGGCAGAACAAGTTGGGGACTGATCACAACAGTCACCTAACAAGCTCCCTATTTAGTGCAGGTGTAGCTCCCCCCACCTCCCCTTTCTCTCCCTGCTATAGAAAACTTGCCATACAAAAACTCACATTTGCTGCACGGACACATTAAAGAGTGATCATTAAAACAACAAAAGGATGCTTTGGCTTGCCAAAGGATTCAATTCAGACCTCTTTTAAACTGTGAGTCCCCTCCCAACACACACACACGGACACACACACGATCACCACTGCTACCATAATCATACATTTAAAATATATAATTTCATTTCCAAGACTTTAATCCACAATAAGCTTTTCAAGAATAGATCTATTTAATTCTGTAGAATATACCTGAAAATTGATCTCAAGCTATTGTTTGAGCCTAACTGTTGAAGACACCATTTATAATTTTGATGTAGCCGATACATAGCTGCCTGTGTCCCTGTAATACAAAAGGACCAGTTTTCATAGAGGTTTATCTATGCTTTCAAATACCCTGATCTTTGTTAAAGTGAAGATGTAAAATAGTGAAATCTTATTGTTTCTTAAATAAATTCTGACTTCCCAAGGATTATCTAGATGCAATGATCATTATTTTAGCATAAATTACTGATTTATGACTTTGTAGCTATTTTGGAGATTTAACATTCTGTAAATGCATTGTTTATTGAGGAAATTCCTAGCTTTATTGAAAGACTACAGCAAGGAAGCTATATCTCACAGGGAGTCAGGCGCTTAGGTTGAAATAAGAAAATCAACGTGGAAGCACTTTGGAATGTTAAAGCACTTTACATATGTAAGATATTTTTAGTGTCATTGGATTAATACTGAAGTGAAATTTCAACAGTTTAAACTGATTTAGTTTCTTGCAAAATAATTGGTCTTGAGAGTGATTCCTGCACATAATTTGCTGAAATACAAGAAAGGAATGGTGGGGGTTGGGGGGAGGTGGTGGTGGCGGTGGAACAACCCATTTTAAGAAATGACTTTGGTTGGCATTTTAATGTAAAATGTGTGGTAGAATGTTGTCTGTGAAGTGTTAAGAACAAGCTGAATGATTCTGATCCTTTTTTTTTTAATTGTAAAGCTGCAGAATAATTTTCACCCATTTCTCATCTCTCCTTATCTTCCTATCTAACATTAAGACAAAAAAAATCATGTTAGGAAACAAAAACATAATGCTTTGACAGAGGAAAAAATACCATCTTTATTAGAAGTTACGTATTTCAAAAAGCCATTTTAATTGATAGGAAGTGCTTAGAACAGTGCCTGGCACATAGCAAGTGCTGTATATGAATTATTTTACACCTATTACCATTGTTATTGTTGCTACTGTTATTATTACATTTAGAAACACAAACCTAAATTAAAATTCTCCATCTGAAAATCTCACTTTTCAGTTAGTCTTTACTTCCATTTAAAATACTTTACATTGTTTTTTATAGATTACCATTTAAGTGAAGTGAGATTATAAATCTGTGAGACAGCTTTTCTCATGTAACACAAAATTAATAAATGATCTCATTTACCTACAGTCACATTGCATATAAGTACTTTAAGGGAATTTACTCAAGCTGATTAGAAAGAGACACAGAAGTACAACCTTAAACATGACTTTATTAATAAATGAAATAATTTTTAATCATTTATTGAAGATGAAGTCTTCACATTTTAAACACACAGGTTCAGCTTGACTGTTAACGTGTGTATGACTATTTGCTTCTTTTTCTACCTTACTTAATGTAGAATTCATAGTTCAAAATGACTTGAGGTGAAAAATTTCCTGTTTTTTATTCACGAGATAGGAGGATATAAAAAGGCAGCTTTAGGAGGGGTGAGAGAATCAGTCAGCTAAATTAGTAATATTATGATAGCACTTGGTATTAAAAAGCAAAAAAAAAAAAAATCTGTAGTAATTAATTTTTGCAGTGTTAGACACTTTTATCACCATGAAGGAATCTTATGTTTCTTTTGAGTGTACTACTGCCAAACTTGTTGCTATCAGTTATAGGCACTAGGAACACATTGTTTTTATTATATTGAACTTACTTATTATAATTTATTAGAATAAGATTTCCATATAGCAGAAATTTCCCAGCTATCATTGACGGATTACTTATTTTAGGTGACATTCAATCCCTCAAAATTGGACAGTGTTTGGACTAATGAGGTATTTGACCTATAACAATTAAAGAGGACCTCACTTAATTAAAGTTAACTAAAGTTGTTCACAATCATTATTCATTTGCATTCATTGTATTTTAAGAGTGATGCTTTCAGGGTAAAAATTTCAACTACCAGCAATATACCTACTTTAAACAAGGACCAGAACTTTAATTAAGCACACCAGAATATCACACATATATAAAAATTCAAACAAGATCTCTTATTTTCTTTTCCTCTCCCTAATCCCCTGTTTTGGGAACAAACTCAGGCTTCTCAGAAGGACAAAAAAAATTTCCTGTGGGAATAGATGTGGCTGACCAGCATAGGGAGACCTAAGGAATAGTTTATGTGATTTAAAAGGGTCTATTGTTAAATTGTTGAAATGTAACAAATTGTTGATTGAGGAAATGCTTTCCAGTTGCAGATTGCCTTATAGTTTGCAAAGCACATTCACATTCATTATTTTACTGATGGACGGTAAGTATTGGAAATGAAGCCCATGTTGAGAATTTTCCTGTGATCAAACAGGTAAGTGGCAGAGCTGAAAATCTAACTCATACATCTGATTTCAAGTCCAGTGCTCTACCCAACATGGAATCTCTCTTTAATCGGGCGTTTAGTCTGTTATTTTCCCATTGATAACAGAGTATTACATGGGTAATGATTAGGAATAAATTACAAGTTTGCTTTCATTTGATAGTAGCAAATTTCGTTGTAAGTAATTCATTCAGAGCATTATAACTACGGACTATCTGCCAGGACTTGGGTAATTTTATTACATTGAACTGTTTGCCCTGGTTCTTAGAATAAAAGAATTTGACCTTTGCTGGAATTGAATCTTTACATCTGATCTGGGGAGGAGTTGGTTAATCTTTATTACCCAAACACAAATAGTGTGTGTATCTATTTAGATCTCACAGAAACATTGAAAGGAAAGAAAGGAGTTGAGGGTGCATTCAGTAAATTTCCATTAATGATCATTTATTTAACTGAAGTTAGATTTGTTTGATCTTCCTAATAACCCATTGACATTTTAGAGTTATAGCAAAAAGTCTTTTCATTTAATTTCTTCCCTCATTATAAAATTTCATATTCTAACTAAACCAGCACAGTAGGCAAAACAGGATAAAGTAAGACAGGTAGAAGAATAAGCAGTGTAGTAATAGATGTTCTTCATTGGTTTAAAAAGTAAACTTGCTTTTGGCAGTTAGGCAAGTAGATTTTAGAAGCCTTGAAAATCAAACTGTCTCCTTGGGACATAAAATTCCCTGTTTAAAATTAAGTTCATTTTGATTTAGCACTGTTTTTAAGGCTTTAAGAGTATGTAAAAATAGCTCAGACATTTTATTGGCAGTATTGGAAAATAGCTTTTTAAAAATGCTTAATTAAAACCTCCAGTATATTTTGTCTAAGAGGTGCTGCCAGACTCTTAGATAGTGAGGATCATTTACTAGAAAACACTGCTTGGTCCTGACTGAGAAATGAGAAATTAAAAACACTACTTTTTAAAATAATGAAATAAATACATCACAATGCACCGAGTTTTTGCCATATCATTGGATTGCTGATTTTAAAGCTATTGATAAAATTGCCAAGAAAAGTGTGCTTGCCATATGAACTTAAAGTATATTCTCTAGCAATTCTGCATTGATTATTGGTAATGTAGCTACAGTTCTCACATTTCAATCTTATTTTGGAAAGGTAGGCTCAACATTTGAGGAACATATTTAGAGATTTTTCTAGTGTAAATGTATATACTATTTTAGGTTTGCATTTCTTTAGAGGGTACCTGTCAACTTCTGGCTGAGGAATTAATTCCTTTTAGAATGGAAAACATGTACTTAAATACTTATTAAGTAAAATGAAAAAGTTACTGCCATTTTCCCTTAGATTCCTGATACTTCTTTCTTACTGGTTAGGGTTGCATTGGTTGTGTTCTGTGGGTCTTAGCTTCATGTGCCCTTTGTCAAACCTATGCCCTTATATTCAGGCAAACATCCCCTTTTCTGGTCTCTTTCTGGCTGAAAAGGAGAGGGCCACTGTGGGAGTCCTGCAGGGCCCACAGATGATTTATTTCACCAGATGTTGATCACTCCCAGTACACGGGCTTAGATTGCAGAAGCAACCTTCCTCATAGGGATCCAAAGTTGTGCTGCCTGCCCTACTCTCACTTGGTGCAGAACCAGCTGGGCTGGTGTTTAAAGCTATTTTCACGGTTGGATGGATCACAATATGTATGATGCTAGCCAGACCTTCTGGATTTACCGAATATCCAATTCTCTATAAATTGTAGTCACTTTAGCTAGTTTTGACAATTTATATAATTTTTCTCTCTACAATTAATAATTTCCTACTAATAGACTTGAAACTTAGACTATCAGGGAAGTTTCTATCTCAAAACTCATTCTGAAAATGGCTCACATGTGTACCCACGGTGCCCTTGAAAGGCTGACCAGCAAATGTGATTTTCACTATTGTTTTTTAAAGTGTTGTGCCTCCAGTCTTGAAAGTGTACCAACCTTGTCCTCACACTCAGAGTCCTGTGCCCCCAGCCCACCCCCATGATGAAGTCCTTATTGTGGCTGCAGCTCTTATCATAGTTTCCCTTCTACTGTCACCCTACCTCTGACTATTCCAGCTGCTTGAGTTTCGGGGACACAATTCCTATTGCCATGGCTGGAAGACACAGAGTCTCAAATTGAAATTGCACATACATCTTCCCTCAGAAATGATGACTGGGTATAGTCAAAATAGTTCTCTGTTAGTTCAGGAGCTGCATAGGTTAAATATAAGCATATCTAGACAAAGCTATGAACCTATCCACCATTTATTTATGATATTGTTTCTATAAGATAATTTATCCTGAGTTTCAACTAAACAATGACCTTGGAATATGTCTATTTTGTAAATAGGAAACGGCCTATATTAGAATTATATTAACTTGCATTCTTTAAGTTGGCAGTAACTAGGCAGCAGAGTGAAGTGGCCCATGTGTGTGTTGGGAGGTAGTGGAGAAGCTGACCTAGCATGAAAATCCTGTAGCCGATCTCCATAGAGTTTGTATCCAGATACTCCAGACTGGAATGCACATGCGTAAGTGGTCCAGGGCCTGCTAACAAAGGGCAGGTGTAAAACAATTGGGCTGACCTTTGAGGAGATGGAGGTTTACAAGTGTCACACATTTTCCTTACGGATTCTTTTGAGTATTGTGTCCCAAAACTATTGCCATTGTGGAAACAACAGTATTTTATCATCTGATCTATGAAGGAGATAATAGTCGGTATGTTGTAAAGACTCGTAGCAATAATTGCTAGTTTTTAGCCTTGAGGAATAGCACTTAATTTTATCAAGTCCTAGAGAATCGTCCTCCTCTGCAATCACAGGGCACAGAAAAGTATGATCATCCATTCTTACTGAGAAAAAAAACAACCACCTACATATACTCCAGAGACAATGCTAAGCTAAATAATGTAATTGCATTATTATACATTCATCTTTGGCATGTATGTGTCAATTTATCTTTATTTGCTTCCTTTCCTTTTTTTTTTCCTTTTGCTTTACTTAGTTGCCCCTGCTTATGTGAGCTCCAGTTGATTGCAGGTATAGCATGTTGTCTAACGAACAGAGTGAGGAATTTGCAAAAAATCTTGAAAAGCATTTTTGAGCTCTAGGAAAACTGGAGTTGAAAAGATAACTAAGATAATAAGATTTCAGAAGGGGAAAAGAGAATGAGAGAATAACAACATGTTGCTATAGGTTCACCTTTCTCTGAGCAGAGGAAATATTGCTATTTCAGACTTCAAACTGTAATAGAGGCATGTTTACGATTCATATAAAGAGGTCTGAGGTACCCTGGAGGAATTGCCTTCTTGGCTCGCCCTATGAATTTCCAGGGATATTGAAGTCATCTGTGCTTTATTAGCATATTATAGATTAACGTTCAGGTTTATATCATTATATAAATTAGAACAGAAAAGTTTACTTCATTTGTTTTTGAGAACAAATTTCCATGCCGGATTTTGGTAGGAGGAGCAGGGAAATATTTTGACTCATCAGAGTCCATTGAGGTTTTCTATCTTACAGAGAAAAATTGCTTGAAGAGTATACCACCCATTAAAAGGGGTGGAATTAACTTGTTGTTTAAAAGACCTTTGATTAATTGAAAAATAAGAATATACAATAAGGTGTTTATAACCTGTCAGTATCAAATGGGAATAATACATCTCAAACAGACCACATTATTACAAGCATCGCCATTTACCTTTCTGATGGTGAAATCACATAAAAATGAATGGGAGACAAATCTAAGGTATGACTGTTAGCCCTTTAATATTCATTTTGCAGACTTTTCACAGCTAAGTTTTAATCTCGAATTGCTTTTCTTTGCCACCCAGCGAGGTTCTGAGTTGCTTCCTTACGCTGTTCTTTGGAATGTGCTCCGGGAATGTAAGCTCATTTTAATATTGGCCTAAGTAAAACAGGATTATAAAAGCAAATCTGTGTCTCAAGTTCCCATAATGCATTTCAAAAGCAAGTTAAATTATTTCGAGATTATCCTGTTTTGGATACCATTATTCCTTTCTGCTAAAATAGTTAATCAAGAATTGACAAATACATTTGTGAAGTAAACATGAAAATACACAATTATTTGTCACTTTTTATTAATTTATTAAGCATTCACTTAATGCTGGTGTAGGTGTTCTAGGTAAGCAATGGCAATATGATTCAAATTTTAGTAGAGTCTCTGTCATTTAAAAAAAGGAAAGAAGAAAGAAAACTCCAATAACAACAAATGTTCCTAATCTTAGTATAATGCCAATAGGGTAGTGATATGGAGCTTAATTTGAAGGTTTTGAGGGAAATGTATATATGACATCCAGTGTATCATATAAGACAGCAAGAAGTCCTTTTTAAAGCACATGTAATGTGCTACATATAGACATATGAAGATATTTTTGTATTAAAACCAAATAGTAAACTAAACTAGGTGAAATACCTTTCTAACCTTAAATATCTTTTAAAATGTAGCTGATATCTGATAACATTCTGTAATACTGGTCTGGCCTAATTTTCCAGCAAGTAACAGTTACTAATATGCACTCTCACAGTTAACTGTGGTTGTCACAGACTCCTTTCTTCCTGTGTACAACTAGATACATAAAATGTAAAATTTCTAAACCCACTGTTGACAGGAAAGCTTAATATCTTTACTAATCTAGGGTATTTTTTTTTTTGAGACAGGGTTTTACTGTCACTCAGGCTAGAGTGCAGTGGCACAACAGGATTTTACCATGTTGCCCATGCTGTTCTTGAACTCCTGGCCTCAAGGGATCCACCTGCCTTGGCCTCCCAAAGTGCTGGGATTATAGGCATGAGCCATTATGCCTGGCATTTTTTTAACCCTTTAATCTGTAGGAACAAACCTATGCATTGAATCTTAATGAATAGACACAAGTAGTAAGAGAGGAATGTACTTTTCCCACTCAGTGCTTTATCCAGCTGCAAATTTGTTACATTTTTAAAGCCCTTGAACCCAGGAGTTTGGGTGGGGCTGCAGTGAGCCATGATCATGCCACGGCACTTCAGCCTGGGTAAGAAGTCAGGATAGTGAGACCTAAAAAAAAAAAAAAAAATTGTAAAACCTTTGATGAGAAAATTAATACTTAAAATATGTATTTCTGGTTTAATACACAATCTTGTACTTTAAGCCCACTCTGGAAGATGTTTTCCATGGATTCTTTTAGGATGTCTCAAATAAAATAGAATACTTGGTACTTTGAGGTGACCTGATCTTAAGGTAATACTGGCATCCCATAATCAATTTGCTGATCATTTATCCTTATCCCTTCTCTGGTCCAGCACCTTCTTTGTATCTGATCCACACCTCCTGCCACACTCCCCATTACGCACCCTCTCAAAAGCAGAAAGCCAAGAGAATAATGCTGGAACTTTTTTCTTTTATTAAACAGATGGGAATTTCAAGTCTCCTTGGCAGGTATGACTTTGTTCTATTAGAAGAAATTCAATGATTGAGTCTAGAGACCATCACCAAGGCTGTACTTAAATCCTATGACTTGTGCTACATAACCTGGTGAAGGCATAGTCACACATGTAGAAGAAGAAGACGAAGAAAAAAATCTGTTTCTCTGCACAATGCCTGGCTCACTTGTGGGCTCCACTGGAAGAAAGTAGAACAGTGCACACGTGTAAAGATGCTGTCCACCAGAAATGTCAGAGTGGCAGCCTGGGGGCCAAAGGAATAACTGCCCTTATGTCCTTGCCCAGCCGATATTCCTCACAGGCAGCCAGCAGAGTTGATTAACTCTGTCAATGCCCAGGCAGTCTCCTCTATATAGCTCTCAAAAACTTCTAGTTAGATTTTGTTTTGTGTTTTTTTCTTTTGTTTTAAACCAGGGTGTGGGTTTAAAACACATTAATTCTTCAAGTAACTTTTGTTTTATCATCTTTTTTCTAGAGTGATTATATTGACACGAAAACACATTTTAGAAGAAAAGTGGTACTTATGGAATTTTATCTTCATCTACTCCAGATCTGCCTACAGGAAAGAAAATTCAGTCTTCTGAGTAGAAAGCAACCTAAATTCCTACAAGCCTACAAGTGGACTCTGGCAATTGAATGATCCTATTCATGCAGATCATTCATCCTACTGCTTATGGATCCAGTGATTTCTAATTAACAAATTTACACTGTGCAAAACACTGGTTTTGTTTTCTGGTATTCTCCCTGATCTTTCCCTTTGAACAGAAACAGATACTATAGAAATGAGCATCTGATAGCTCTTTCCCTCTCTTAAAAATGTTAATTACAATATATATAAATGCGGTCAATGCCAATTTTAATGATGTAAAATATTTAGATTCAATTTTGAAGTTGAAAAACCTTTAAACTAGGGCGCATAAAGAAAAAAAGCTGTCAATGGGAAGGTAGGTATGATCTGGAATCTTTTTTCTGAGTATTACACACACAAAACATTTCTTGATCAATGAATTAAATGTCAACTGAACTGATATCTTGATGGGACATTACCAATATTTTAAAGGCAGGACTAAAGGGCAGATTATTTCAGATTTTGCTCATTAGCAAAACTAACATTCTGCTCATGTTAAATGTCAATGAAACTTATATCTTGATTGAGCATTTCCAACATTTTAAAGGCAGAACTGAGAAATGGCTTATCTATTTGTTCACATACAACACTATGACCTTCTGCCTGCAAATCAATTGAGTATTTTCAAACCTATTATTTTTAATTTATTGTGAAACCTACATTTACCTCCTAAGAGAAGCAAGGCTCTTCAAAAGTCTCTTCCCACGGCCCCTCTCTGCTTCTCCAGCCCTCTCTCCACTTTCAACCTCTATTCTTCTCCTTTTTCCGGCCCTCTCCCCAACGCACACTCTCCCTCCTATGTCCAGGGCTACTATAAAGAGATCAGTTTCCCATATTCAATAAATTAGTGTTTACTTATCAATTAATAGTTTGATGAAAACTTAAGCCAAAAGGAACCTCTTATAAGGCTTTGTTTCCTTCGGGATATTGAGCCAATGTAAGATGTACCAAATTTAAAAAAAAAAAAAAAAAAAAAAAAAAAAAAAAAAAAAAAAACAATCAGAGCAAGCTCTCCTTCCCCCACCCCCATTTTTGCTTGCCTCTGATTGAAACTGAATTAAGATGTTAGGAGCCTAGACCTTTGAGTACATGACACTAACAAGGTGGTGACCACAGAGAATAGGTACAAAGGTCTTGAAGCTTGCTTAGAGCTTTGTTCCGTGGTGGCACACAAATCTTGGCTTGCTGTACCATCACTGGCAAACCTCATCATATCACAGATGAGTGTGAGTGTTTGAGTGTCTGTGTGTGAGCACTAGTTGTATGTGTGCATATTTGTGTGTATACACACTTTTGTGTACCTGTGTACATGTGATTGTAGATGTACCTGTTGTGTGTAACTGTGTTAAAAAGAAACTTGCTTCGCATTTAATGTGCAACTTTGAAGTAGTGTAATATTTATCTGAAGTTTTTCACCACTTGGTTTTGATGTATTTGAACGTGTACTTCTATCTTCAAGCAAGCTTATAGTACATGTTGCTAAACTAACTTCTCCAAACAACTGAGTTGACTTCTATTTTTCCTTGCCTACCAACCAAAGGGATGGGGGCCTTTTCTTTCCCCTTGTAAATGATGCTGAGGAGAGGATGTGGCTACAGGATCAGGCATTGTTACAGTTACTAGTCACTGCTAGGACATCAACTTCATAAGTTCCTTCAGACTCTTCTCTTTTTTCAACCTAATCAAATAATGCAGTGTGGCTTTTGTTCATTGTGATAAAAATGTGCTCTTTGGGCAGCCTTTTTTCAAGCCTTCTGTCACCATGTTATTTTCAAGTTAAGTAATAATTGTTTAGAATTGTGAGAAAAAAGATTACTTGGGGGAAAATGCTATATCACTTTATTTGCATATTAGGTTCAGAAGCTGCCAGCAGACAGGGTACAGAGGGTATAAAGCACAGATGTAACAGTTGCTGAATAAATGAACGAGAAGCCTCATACATAACAGTACACATTATACAAGTAGTAACAGGTACAAATAGTCACAAGTACTGCATAACAAGCAATCTTTTTCACATTATTTCTTAGTTTACAGACAATTAATTTATTCAGTATTGTACTGGAAGAACCTTTATGGACTATGTGTACCAGCATATCACTTACCTTCCAGCTATCAGTTCATGCTGCTGTTAAGAAAAAACGATGATGGAATGATTTTTTTGTGTGTGTGACCGCTGCATTTAATTCGGTATCAGGTGTAATCACTTAGTTGTTAAAAAGTGAAACTTCACAGTTCCACCAGCTAATTACATTTGCTATTTCTGCTTCACAGATCTGCTTTGAGTTGCTTTGGCTTTGTCTTCCTTTGTAAATACTCTTGTACTTTCTTTTCTTTGTAAACATCTCGTTTGCAGTTTTGGGAGACAACTTTGCAACTCTGTATAGTGTTTATATATATCTGTATATCTATATATATCTGACTTGCCTTTCCATAGAGCTACTCGCAATAAATGTGTTCATGTAAGTTATTTCTGTGGAGATTAATTTTTTTCTTAATAGTATTGTCTCTACTCCATTATAAATATATTTTCCTGCTTTGTAGTAGGACTGACTGCATTTTTTTGAATGAAATGGGGTATTTTAGGGTTTGGGCTAAAGGTACTTTGCCTAGAAACATGAGGCTTCTCAATAGAGTGAATAAAGTCAACTCTTGATTCTTCAAATGTGGTGGTGATACTAGTGTAGAACAATTTATAAAATGCCTTACCTAAATTTTCATGCGGACTATGGATAATGAGTGAATCCTACACTGGAGCAACTACTCAAGGAAGTTGAGGTGACCATTTACTTTTTTTTTCTGTCTCCTTCCCTTGCCACTTACTCTTGCCCTTTAAATGACTCTCTCTTCATTTTCTTTTTAACCACTAGGAAAGCAACTGTGAGTACATATAAAATACGCTTATGACAGACAAGAAAGTATGCTTGCATTGATGGAATATAGAAGGATAGATGGATTGAATATCAATAATTTATTAGCAAATTATAATGCCTGCCTTATTGGAAACCAAAAGTTTAAAAGAACTCTAGAAAAATAATTGCCCCCCACCCGCCAATTCCTTCTTTACCAAATAACCCTTGCCATGCAGAAGTCAGTAAGAATCGATAAGGCTTAGAGACCGTACCTATGCAACAATCCTGTAAGATCTGCACATGGACCCCAGAACTTAAAGTACAATTTAAAAAAAAGAAGACTTAGAGACCAGTCCCTGTACAAAGAAGGCATCTGTGGGATCACATGGGCCACAGGATAAGAAAGCAAGTCACAGATGGTGTGCAAAATCTACAAGCTACTTGGATTGTCTATATACAGACAATTAAGTTGATTGTACAGTTTGACTTCACTTGATGCACCTAGGGAGGATTTTGTAAAACAATATCTACATCACAATATCAAGGTGTAATTACACTGACTTTATTATTAGAAACTGTCAGAAACTGTCTACAACAGTGACCATTTTAGGATCATGTATATTTACACACCTATATATACATATGTATATATGTAAACTTTAATTCTCACTTCAAGGGGGCAATCAATATTTGTCAGGGCATAGTCCAAATATATTTTATTCATCCAAACAGTTCCTCAAAGACAAATAGGCACACCTGTGCCTCTCAGTCCATCTGATCTTTGTATACACCTTTGAGGGTTTACATCTTAATAGGACTTGAATTCCTGGAACAGTAGGCATAGTCTGTGGCTACTTAGACAAATCATCAGAACTTACTGGCAGGAAGGATGATGTTCAAGAGTGCATAAGCAGAACTTCAGCTTCCCCACTCTCCTAGACTCATGTATAGTAACCAAATGTTTGCTGTAAAATATGAAGGGGTACTGTTTCTTTAGAACATAAAACCTGTTCAGAAGACTTCTCGGGTAAAAGATGCCTAAGTGCATAGTAGTTAAGCACCTCCCATGACTGCTTGGAACAATATTACCAGGTGCTAAAGGGCATCTTGGAAATGCACCAAAATACTTATTCAAAATGTTTTGAAAACTTACATCAGTATAGTGTAGGAAAAAAAGAAAAAATAAAATAAAAACCTTTTGAAAACAAAACAGACAAAAAGCACAACCTGGAAAACGTGAGCATGAGAATTTGGATGGGTAAGTCAGATCATGGCCCTTAATTTATAAAAAGCGAAAAAGAGAAATTATGTAAAATTAATGCACAGAATGAGGTGGAACTGTATTCTGCTTTAGAAAAACCAATTCATTTTCCCTCCAAGATATGCATGTTAATAGATGCTGGTTTTCAGGCAGCTACCATAAGTCCCAGTTTGCTGCTTAAATGTACTTCAGAGATAAGAAATGCAACTGAGCTGTACAAAATGAGACAACTTCCCTCCTGTCTCTTGTGCATGATAAATGCTAAAGCAATTAGGAATCACTGTTGCATGCTACATTGGAATTTGTCAGCAACATCACTGCCATGCTATGTAAATAGGGAAAGCTTATTTAGAATAAAGTCCTGAGAATTTAGGAGGAGACCACTCGTTTTACTTAATATTGCACTTTTGGGTCCATAGAATTGAACTAGAAGCAATACCCTCCTCGACTTTTCAATCTCAGAATATCTATTATAGGGTCTTCTATTTCACTGGCAATAAACTGAATTAGCATTTCAATAACAAAAGGAGCAAGGAAATATTGAAATGGAAAACAGATTCTTAAATATCTGCAGAAAAAAATGTGAGGCTTGCAATTCATTCTGTATTTCCACACTTGTAATCCCCAAGAAGGTTTTCAACATCTTTGGATTTTCTGCATCATTTTCAGGGAATTAAATGTATGTAGGCCGTTTAAAATATATCCATGCCCAGACTTTTCTTATTGTTGTTTTAACTTTCTCACAAGCAGCTAGGAACTATCTTTCTAATCTTATTTTTCATTCTGTTTTTCCCCCCTTTATATTAACATTATGTTCATCCCGGTAACACAGGAGGTATTGGTGGTAGTACTTAGTGCTTAGAATTGTAGCTAAATATGTTACTTTAATTACAGTGGATAAAACTCATGTGTGATATAGATACTTGAAAAAACCTTTTTTGAAATACTACCATGTATTTTTGTGGGTGTGTGACAACGACGCTCAAAACATTCAGTCTTAAAAGGGTCTAGTTTGACTCTATAACACTTCAGAAAATGAGAATTGACTCTGCATAGAGTGGATATTCTGGATTTAGGTTTAGAATTGCAAGGAATGTTAGATATAGTACAGACCAAACCCTATGAGTCTTCAGCTATATCTCTGTTCATTTACTTCCCTCCTTTGGAGAAGTTATTTCAATCATCTTTCCTAACTATTAAAGTTCTAATAAAAGGTCTTGTAGGGGAATGGGATGGAATGACTGGAAAGATTTCTTCTTAGACGACAGTTTTTTGACTCATAATAGTCATGGAAAATGAAAGTTTGCCATACAGCATTTAAAAGGAATATTTTCTCCTCTCCCTCCCTGTTATGATGCTCCCTACCCTCAAAAAGAAATGGCTTAATTTCACATGGTGTTCATAGTATTTCTTTCTGTGAATTCCTAGACTTTAAAGCCATTTTCCACTTTCCTCACTTATGATAGGAAAAGTAAAATGCCATCCTGCTAGAATTAAAGAGAAACACATGTTAACTGAAATTCCAATTGAGAGAAAACTGAGACACAACTGAGACAAAAGGCTAGGAAATTTTAATACAAATATTCATATTGCAAGAGACACACCAGATGACCCTACACTGAAAACCCATGTGCTACATAGTAAACAAAATCTTCTTGAATAATTTTGACCTGCTGTTGTAGTGAATATATCCCCTGCCCTGGCATCAAGGCATTGGAAGTAATGAGGACTAAAAAACTTTAGGAAGACTTTCGATTCTGGCCAAGATAAATCAGGTTTACCATCCCACCTGAACAATCCCCAAAACACCCAAAATATGAAACAAGGGTTTTTTTTTT